AACTCTTAACCTCTGCTGTCCCATCCCAAAGGGATGTTCCCCTGAGGGCCTTCTGGAATGCTGAAGAACTATCATTAGCCTACATTTCCAAGAACATGGGACCGATCAAAAAGTTATAGTACATCTACATAGCAGACGACTAAGAAAATCACACTGTACAAGAACTTGAATTACAGGAGGAAACAGACACTCCACAGTGTTACATGAGCACAGCCTATAAAAGGCCTGCAATATGAGCTCAATTTTGTGAACACATTGCTATGTTACGCTATATTAAAAAGGCAATGATATGATAAACTGATTTGATATGATAAAATGGTCAGTTATTTCCGGACTGCAGAAATTTTGTTCTCTTCTACATTTTGTCTTTCTCCCAATTTTCTATAATGACCAGGCATAAATTTTAATTAGGGAAAAAATGTATTTAAAACATAGAGATTGAAACAGAGACCTGTTCTGAACAAGCATATAGCTGGTGTATACAGTTTATAGAAAAAAACTGGGCTAAAATTTGGAAAGATTTATCTTCACTTGCTGTTGGAGGGGGAGGAGGGGTTCCAGTACACACAAACAGAAGGAATTGAATCGAGGAATCTTCATGCCTTTATGAGCCCTTTTCTCTTTCTAAAGACTAATGACCTGTGTTGCTAGGAGGAAGGGATCAAAGGTGGCTCTTGGTAGGACACTAGTACAAAGGTCCACTGCCCTCGCTAGGAGGAATTACAGGCCGGTTTCTAGAGGAATCCTCATCAGTGCAAGGAAGATGCTTCTATATTCCTCTTCTAACCTAAAGTCCCCTAAGGTATTAAGAGTACAAAAACTAAATTCAAAGTGATCAAAACAAGTCTCTGTTTTTACTTAATTCTAAGCCACCCTTTTAATAATCAAAACACACTTCCACTTTTGAGAGCTCAGAGAAAGAAACCCAATCTTACACAGTGCCTGGGATGTAACAGAGTACCCGATGGATGTATAAAAAAGGAAGAGTGAATGAAAGGTTCACACTTGGCCTGGCCATCTCAGGAAAGGTTTTGGAGTTCAGGAATCATATTTATTTTTCACTCTTGGCCAGAAAAGTCCAGGACCAGTATCAAGAGCTGATGAAGATGAGAACAGAGAAGGGAGATGATTCTTCAATTGTGAGATTCAAACTTTAACTTCACTCATGGAAGAATCACAGATATTCTCCACTTCCTATGAGCACTGTGGTCATCACTCAGCTCTGTTTAGCTCTCACAATTGGATTCCAGTCTATCTGTAATGTCTGTGTCCCAGCTGCTGGTTATTACTTTTTCATGCCATTTCTCAGATGTTCATGATGACTTTCTCTATCCCTAGGAAAACTGAGGAAGACAATAAGACAAATGCTACGCATCTTGTTTGAAGGCCACCGAGAAGCGATAAAAACAAGATTCTTTCATAACCACCCTTTTGCTTCACACAACTGAGCTAAAGTAGTTCTTTTTTAGATTTGCAAAGCAGTCTAAAATGTCATATTTCTTTTCATTTGTATCACCTTACATAATAATCTGTCATGTCTGAAATCTCTCTGCCCCTTCTAATTTCTCATATCCAGTTGGTTACAAGGTCCTGTTGATTTTCTCTATATAATCAGTTTGAGCCTGTCCTTTTGTCCTGACCACAGCTCAGCTATTTGGTTCATCCCCCAATAGGGTATGCCTTAGCTAATCTACTGCAACTGTCTTCTTCCATGTCTCCCCATTATGAAATACATGCTTGGCATTTCAGGCAGGGCTACCCTCCTAAGGCTAGAATCTGGTCTTGTTACACCTGTGTCAGATATACTGCTTTTTATAATCTACCAGCAGCCATGATCTCAGGAAAGTACTCCTCCATCATTCTATTAATAATCCTGCTCTATCTACTGGGTTCCATGGACTAAGCTATCCCTACATCCCACCCTTTTGTCTCCTCTTCCACATCCCCAGAGACAGTCCCAGGATCCAGGCCTTCTGGATCCATCTGCTGTAGTCCATGTTATTGGCCTGAGATTCAAAAATGAATCATGTGAATAGCCCCTTACTGGCCAGTTGAAGTCCCTGGAGCCTTCTGCCAACACTGTCAGGAAAGACCCTCTGTTCTCAGTGATCATAGGCTCCAAGGACTGCTGAGGCCAAACCTATCTGGGAAACTATCACAAAGAAGAAAGCCAACACTAAGGCCAGCCGAAGTCACAGATAATTAGAAGCTAGAAAAAGGAAAAGAGAAAGGTTCCAATAAACATAAAGACGTCACTAGAGTCCCCAGACCTCGCCATGTTTCTATCATCTTGGAATTACCAGTTATGGGAACAAATAAATGCCTTTTCCCCTGTAAACTATTATAAATTTTCCTCTTGACACTTTTGTGTGCAGAAGAGTCATAATGCATACAACTTCACTACTTAGAACTTTTAACAGCTTCTTATTTCCCATAGGGGGGAAAAAAAACACACCAAACTCATTAGCACAATAGTCAAGATAGTCAGCAAAAGAAACCATCTCAGCTTTTCAGTTTTAACTTTCCTGTCCCAGCCTTCTCTTTCTTTGAGAATTCTCCACCCCCACCCACACAGACAGGGTCTCTTTATCTGTTGCCCTAGCTGGAGGGCATCATAGCTCACTACAACCTCAAACTTGTGAGCTCAAGCAATCATCCTGCCTCCGCCCTCCAACAGCTGTGAGTACAGGTGTGCACTACCCTACCTGGCAAATTTCTTGATTTTTTTGTGGAGATAGGGTCTCACTATATTGCTCAGGCTGGGCTCTTCCAGATATTATTATAACCATAGAATCAATATCCTCTGCTATAGCCACCATGAACCCTGATTTCTGCCCCCATGCCACTGCTCATAATACTTCCTGAATCTGAATTATTCTTCTACTCTCCCCTTCACTATTAAATCTTCCAGACTCAGCTTATATTAAGCACTAATATGTTTTGCATTATAGCTTTCATACACATATATACACATATCCCACCCTGCCAGGACTCTTTGCAGAAAGGAACAGGCTTCTCCTAAAGTTTAATCTCTAGTGCCTGACAATCTGCTCCGGAAAGAATACACAGTCCAATGTAGCTGTGATCTGAAATAAAAAACTAAGGATTGATAGCTCTTAGACTCTTAATCTTCCTTGTGTTAGAATTTCTCAAAGATTAACCATATCAATATACAACCCAGCAATTGCATACTTGGGCATTTATACCAGAGGAACAAATGCATGTCTACACAGAAACCTATACAGATGTTTATAGCTACTGTATTTGCAATAGCCCCAAACTGGAAACCACCCTGATGACATTCAATGGATGTCAACAGTTCAACAAAGTGGGGTACATCCATGCAATGGAACAATCTAGCACAGTGGTTCTGAACTTCCCTAATGCCTCCTAATGTTGTGACCCTTTAATACAGTTTCTCATGTTGTGGTGACCCCAACCATAAAATTATTTTTGTTGCTACTTCATAACGGTAATTTTGCTACTGTAAGGAATCGTAATGTAAATATCTGATACGCAAGATGTATTTTCATTGTTACAAAGGGGTCACGACCCACAGGTTGAGAACACTGATCTAGCAACATAAAGAACAGACTATTGATATATGCAACAACTTTAAAAAAATCTTGAGGGAATTATGCTGACTGAAAAACATAGCCAACAGGTTATGTATTACATATTTCTGTTTATGATGGGGTGCAAGGTGGGGAGTGAAGCAGATGGTTAGGGCATTGCAAGGAGCCCCTGTGGTGATGGACATGTTCTGCATCTTGATTGTACCAATGTCAATACTCTGCTTATGACATTAAAATATAGTTTTGCAAAATGTTAGCATCAGAGGAAACTGAGTAAATGGTACATGGGATTTCCACACATTATTTCTTACAACTGCATGTGAATTCACAACTATCTCAAAATAGAATGTTCATAATTAAAAAGAAAAACTAACCATATTTTAAATCTTAACCAAAAAATAGATACTCAGTGGTAGAGTACCTCATAAATGATCATAGTTTTAAACAACAGATCTCACTGTAACTAGTAATACAATAGGGTTTTGCCTCCCAAAGGTGAGTGGCTCTCCGAAAAAGAAGTAGAGAAGAGAGTCATTCTGGATATCACGAGAGAGGACATTTCTTTACATATGAAAGCCATTTACAGAAACTAGGATGGCATAAGATATCATAAATACTAATAAGAGAATGGTCCCTGCTCAGAGCACCGAACTGGGACCCCAAGTGACAGTCTGTCTCTGCAAGTGCACAGCTGGGGCTTCCACAGGGATGAATAATAGTCACCAATCTGTGAAATCTGATCTGTTTGCCATTTAGATCCATGTGACTCACTGAGGCTGGCTGCATTCATATCTAAAAATACAGGAAATTTGCAGCCTAAGCAAACTTGGCTCGTGGGCTCATGGGTTTTTGATTCAAATATCACACATTTAGAGACAGTGGTTTTATATTTCTATTGGCCAGCAACAGGAAAGGTTCTGCTATTCAAGTGACAGGTACTAGGTTGAAATCTAGAAGCAAAGAGGATCAGAAGATTTATCTGCTTATATACATTTGAGTTACACGACACCTGCTCTGTCATAGGAACATGAGTCCAAGATCCTCTGTAGGCTAGAACGATGCCCTTCCTGGGATAATGGGTGTGTCCCACTAAATACTTGCCCCAAAAGAGTACAGAAGGAGTCATGCACTATTACGGACAGAGTAGGGTGTGGTAGTCACATGAGTGACCAAGCTCCATTGGGACCAGCAGTGTGGAGTCTACAGAGGGTGTGGTGCCTTGGACCTGACCCTTTTTGTTTTCCCTAATCCTACTCAGAACATTTCCCAGTAGTGCCTGCAGCCATGACAAATGGCCACGGGGCAGTTAATTTCAGGGTGACACCTCTTGGACATCCACAAAAGTTGTCCATGCTCACAGACCTGGTCATTTGTCAGAGTGGACCTCCCTAAGGACCCGCCAGGCCATAGGCACACTGCACTCACCCATCAGGACACTCAGCAGTTTCTGTACTCTGGAGTTGACCCCCACGATTCGGTACAACCCTTGCTCATTGATCCCTGAGAAAAGAAACAGTGATGATTTAATTAGAGGCACATCAGAACACAAGTCAGGCCAACCCAGCCAAATGCACTTATTTTTTCATTTTCTCAGTCCTTCTACAAGCTGCTCTAATTAAAGTCCCCTGTCACTCAGCTCAGCTCTTAGCAAAGGAGTGGGATTTGGTACAGCTGTCTAGGATTTCACGGATGTGCTGCACACTTCAGCCCTCGTGTTAGTTCAGCCATCAGAGGGGAAAGAAATTTTCCTCTTCTCTTGCCAAAGGCAGCATCTAAAGAATTTTTAAAAATGCAAAATATATATTGTAAAATGTCATATTTTACCAACTTTTTAACATAAAAAGCCAAAAATGACACAGTTAAAACTTCATACAACAGAAAAGGACAAATACTTGACAATCCACTTTTATACATAGAAAGAAAATATTGAGGTATAAGGACATTTTCAATTTTAGGGAAAATTGCCCAAGACTAAACAATTAGAAGATCCATTCCTTTCTTATAATATAAATATTCTTTATTTATAACAAACAAAAAAAAGTAAGACCCCACCACTCAACACAAAGAACTGTTCAATTAGACTAGAAGTAAGTGGCTTGGCATATTTAAGATTTCATAGCTAAAAAACAACAGGTTAAAATCATGTACACCACCCTGCATGGTTCATGGGCTAGGAAACAGTTCCTGCTCCAAAACTAAGAGATGGGCCCCAAGTTACCCAGCAGTAAACACTATTCAGTGACATGACAGCTGAGGGGCTTGAAAGATCTGAGGTGCTAATTTCTTTTATCCTTGTGCTTTCCTGGAATTTCATACAATCCTAGCTCCCCCTAGACCAGTGGTTCTCAACCTGTGGGCCGCGACCCCTTTTGGGGTCAAATGACCCTTTCATAGGGGTCAATTCATACGATTCATAATAGTAGCAAAATTACAGTTATGAAGTAGCAATAATTGTATGGTTGGGCGTCATCACAACATGAGGAACTGTATTAAAGGGTCGCAGCATTAGGAAGGTTCAGAACCACTGCTCCAGACTATTAAAAAAAGGTTAGAAACTACAGTTAAGGCAAAGACAATGAGTCAAAGGAAGACAGTATAAAATCAGAGGACAGCACCACTGAGCAGAGGGACCCCACCACCACCACTCCCAGCACGGGTTCATACCGGGCAGTTGCCTTATAACTTGCAGTGTTCACTTAATGTATATAATTAAAGGAATGGTGGATGTCAAGAAATGTATGTGCACTACATTTTTAGTGATTCATAGCTTGTTACTACATCAGTGTACACTGTTGATTTAACCAATTCTTGAGATGTTTGGTCAGTTTCTGATTTTGCACCTTAACAATACCATTGAGTAAACATCCTTCTGGCTCAATCTGGCCTATATCCTTATTTCCTCAAATTCAATTATTTCCAGAAATCTTACCTACTTCTACTTTATAGTCTCTGGATATAGTCTGTGTATTTTTATAAGCTGCCTTAACTCTCTGTTTAAGGGACGTACATCAGAAAAAAGCAAGCATTTAAAAAAAAAAATGTTTCCACACATTAAATAGCTACTTTGGAAAGAATACCTTTTAACTGGATACACAGGAGTAGAGGCTCATGAGGTTATTAGATGTTTTTCCCCTACCCCTCTATACAATGCTTCATAGTCTTTATAAAAATGTTTATATTTCTCAACTAGTAAAAGTTATGGACCCTGCTGCTTTAAAATACAGAACTTATTTGAGAGTGTGTTGAATATAGAAGATTCACATCTCTGATAATGGTTCAAATCAAATCCAGTGGAAAGATGGTTAACACCTTTTCTCAGGAGTACAACAGACCAGTGTACTGAAAACTCCAACCTGCTAGAACAAAGGGATCTCCCTTGTAGCAGTCTCCAAGGGTGGGGTGGAAACCTTTAGAATGAACCAGCTTCCTTGATCTCAACATGCTGCACCTATGGACCCAGGAAAGGTCTCTGGGCAAGAGGGGTATGACCTCTTCCCTCCACCTGGAAGGTCCCCAGGCCTGGCTCCCTAGGGCACCTGGGGTTCACTGACCCCAAATGCCACCTTAAGAATTCAGGGTGTCTGTGAACTAAGACAGGAAAACAGTGACATCTTTATCTTAACTAACATTAAACATTTCCTTCCATTAGGAATGTAGGCAACAAATCACAATAGCATTAGAAATACCTGCAACTTGGTCAGAATTCACAGATATTTTAAAGCTTATTTAATAATTTACTGTTACAGATATCTTGAAATATTACTACTTTTAAGTTATGTTAGTTTTCAAACCCCTGTAACACTATTAAAGTGTTAACAAAGAAACACAGATATTACTATATCCCAACTAGGTTTTTTTAGTACAGCACTTTAAAATTCGAATTTCAGTGACTGATTTCTATAATCCTACGTGTCTTATGTATACGTACACTTAAAACATTTTTCTGAATAGCCAAAGAAGTTGATGACACAAACTCAGCTGAGAACCCCTCTACAAACCAGCAGGACTTATAGAAACACAGCAACAATGGCACTTGGGGAGTTAATGAGTCACTTAAAGTCGGGAAACAGCAGGTAACAAGTCTGACTCCTCACCAGATGCCAGACCTTCCATGAGAACAATGCCATCTGCTAAACCACTTTACCTCTGGTTTCCACAGCATGGATGCATTTCCTGATTATGCTGAAGCCAATGCTGTCCAACTGTGCAGCTGAAAGAACAAGAGAAGGACAGTCAAGTTGCTGGCCATGCAAAGTGACCTCAGGACAGGGCTCAGCCACGCCGGGATGAATCAATCTCATGCTGTAGCCAAATACCCTTTTAATTTTTCCCACTAGCAGTACAGGAATGATTTAAATAATGACGACGACGACAATGATGATAATTGGCACTGAGTGAGAACTTTCCATATGCCAGGTTATAGTTTTAACCTGCATGGATTATCTTACTTAGTTCGCATAATAACCTCAAGTTATAATAACATGCCACTTCGAATGACAGGCATCTTTAAATTGCTTTGCTTTTAACAGGAGCTGTAGGACTAACTGCTTGTGGTCTCCTTCAAAATGTACAAATGAAGTGTTCTATAAATGTAAGTGCTTTATGTGGGTTATCTCATTTAATCCTAGCAAATTCTCCAAGATACTATCACTAACCCTAAATTACAGGTGAAGAAGCTGAGGTTTGGGAAAGCTAAATATCTTGACCAAAGATGCAGAGCTAATCCATGGAGACTTGTTCTGGGGCTCACACCACCAAACTGCCCTAACAGTGACCCTGAGTTAAAGCGTAATTCTGTTAAGGTGACCAGAAGAAAAGGAAAAATGGAAAAAATTAAAGAAAAATGACCTGGAGAACAACGTAACAGCCAAGAACAAAGCAGCGACCTAAGGAAGAGATAGTAAGGCAGTGGGGCCATCTCCCCATGCAAGAGATCAGCAGGTGGTGATGGAGGTCTCTAATCATTTTAAATACCTCTAATGTCACTCAGGAAATAAACGACCAACAGCAGCAATTTTTCACAGCAGAGAACCAATTTCTAATGTGGTTACAAATTCTCTGAACTTCACCCCTATGCTTTGGCTCCCCAGTGGTAAGATGTGTGTGGTACTCCTTAAGAATGGGTTCTTCTTTGACCTGCTTAGGACATTAGGCAAAGACATTCTGTGACCTAATGTTCAGAGTGGAGAAGAAAGTGGTATAAAGTAGAAAGATGGGTACATATAAATAATTGATGATCATCCCAGGGCAAGTAAAAACTTACAATAAATAAGAACTGAGTCGAACGTGAACTCATCTTGGATCCAACCTAAATGGCATCTTTCTCCAATTCTTAGTGTGGATGAGTGAATTCAGATCCAAGGAAGATAAAAAAATTTTAAAATAACACTGAAAATCCCCAAACTCAAACTAAAAAAGAATACTAATTTCCCAAAACTTCTCTTCCCAAAGTAGCTTTTGTACTTATTGCTTAGTGATACTCATAAACATACTGAAACTCTTGGATAATAAGCAAAAGACCAGAAAAGAGATAGAAAACACTACAATGCCCAGCAAGTTTTTAGCAGAGACTGGTCTTACTTTGCTCAGGCTGAACTGAAACTTCTGAACTCAAGTGATCCACCTGCCTGGGCTTCCCATAGTGCTAGGATTACAGGCGTGAGCCTGGCCAGAAAAAATGTTTTTGTTGCTGGAGATTGTCTGGTATATAAATAATTCTTCTTATTCCCTTAAAATAGTAAGGAGTCTACTAAATCAATCCCTTATTGATTCCTATGATCCCCATATTATTCCAGTACAAACTCAGCATTCACTCTGCAGATTGTGATAGCCAGCTTTTCACTGTAGGCCAAATCAAAATAATTCTGCTAAATGAAACTCAATGCATACAATCAGCATTTACTAACAGCCTAATACAGAGGCTAAATATTTGTTGGAATCTAGGGAAGGATTTTTTTTAATAACAGTTTTATTGAGATTAATTCATATACAACAAAGGTTACCTATTTTAAGTGTACAACTCAGTACTTTCTAGTATATTTACATAGCTAGATAGCTATTAATCACCACTACCTATTTCCAGAATCCCTCATTCAAAAAAAAAAACAACAACCCACACACATTAGTAGTCACTCTCCTTTCCTCTCTTCTCTCAGGCCTGGCAACTGTTAATCTACTTTCCTTTTCTATGGATTTGCCTTTGATGAACACTTCACATTAATGGACTCATATAAAATGTGGTCTTTTTTTTGTCTAGCTCCTTTCATGTAATAGAATGTTCTCAAGGTTCATCCAAGTTGTAGCATCAGTACTTTGTTTCCTTTTATGGCTGAATAATAGTCAACTATGCAGATATACACAATTTTATTTATCCATTCATTAGGTGAGAGACATTTGGGTTGTTCCTACTTTTTGCCTATTCTGTGTAATGCTGCTATGAACATCTGTGTACAAGTCCTTGTGTGAACATGCATTTCATTTCTCTTGAGTATATACCCAGAAGTAGAATTGCCAGGTCACAGGATAACTCTATGCTTAACTTTCTGAGGAACTGCCAAACTGTTTTCCAAAACAGCTGTACCATTTTACATTCCCACCAGCAACATATGAGGGTTCAATTTCCCCACACCCCGCCAACGTTTGTTATTGTCTTTTTTATTATAGCCATCCTAGTGGGTGTCAAGTGGTATCTCATTGTGGTTTTGATTTGCATTTCCCTAATGACTAATGATGCTAGGCATCTTTTCATGTGCAGGGGAGGATTTTCATTCCTTTATACAGTAGTCAGAATAGAGCCTGCTGGAAAGTATTTGTCAGATAGGGAATTACTTTTGTGCTTAAGGAGGTTCCTAAAACATTTATAACTGCAATTCAATAGTCAGTAGAAGCCTTTTAGTTCCTTTTTTCTGAGAAGTGCTTCACAGGGAAGATAGTCAAAGAAGTTTAGGAGAAAGAGCCTTGCTTTGTACACTAGGACTCCGAGTTCCCCAACTTGGATGTTCTAATAGTTGGTCTGTGAACATGCTCTTATTCTAGGCATTGATAGAATTCTGTCCTAAGCAAAGACTATTTCCTTACCCCATGAACATTGATAAAAGATTTAAAAAGTTGGAAAGAACCTGGCAACTGACGGTGATGACCCCAGGAGTCAGAAGATAGAGCTGTCAGCTCAACCAGTGGAAGAATCAAAGACAGAGTTGGACATAACCTTGTAAAGCAGCTGTTCTCAACCTGTGAGTCGCGATCCCTTTGTAACAATTTCATTGTTATCGTGGCATTAGGAAGGCTGAGAACCACTGCTGTAAAGGCAAATCAGTTCTCAAACCTTTTTCTCTGGCACTGTAGGAAGTGAGATCCTTTTCTACATAGGTAATATCTAATGTAAAAGGATAAAGTAGAACCAGAAAAAAATTAACTACATATAATTAACATATATTATTATTATAAATATATAGTTAATAAATTAATGATTATAAATATAGTTAAAAATACATAAATAATTTATATATGATATATTAATATATGTTAATATATACAATATATAGTATAATCAATATATATTATAAATATGTAGTTAACTTTTTTCTGGTTCTACTTTATTCTTTTCCATTAGATATTAATTACCTAGAAAAAGATCTCACTTCCTACAGTACCACAGAAAAGGTTTGAGATAACTCCAGAAAAAATTAAAATTCCACTAACCTACACTAGCTATAATTATTTCTTTTGGAAAATAGCAAAGCAAAACTCCTGCATTCAATCTCTGAATAATCTTTGTTTCTCCTTTTGTTTTCTCACTGTGAAAGATTCTTAAATTTGTTTTAAACTAGCAAACCCCTTTTCTTTTTTTTTTTTTTTAATTAAATGATAGCTGTATACATTAATGCAATCAGGGGGTACAGTGTAGTGTTTTCATATACATTTTGAAATACTTTCATCAAGCTGGTTCACATAAATTTCATGTCATTTGCATAGTCATTGTGTCAAAACATTTACATTCTAGTTCTAGAAAAGTTCACTTGTACCCTTGTTAGACAGAAATATAGGTGATCTTTCTGGTCACCCTCCCACCACCCAGCCACCCTTCTCCTGTCCCCTTCCTCACCCACTCCCCATATTCTTGGGCTAGAATTAAGTTGTTTCTTTCATTTGAGAAGTATATATTAGTTTCATAGAAGGGCTGTGTACATTGGATACTTTTTCTTCCATTCCTGTGA